TTTTGGAGCCTACAGAAAAAATCGGAGTCAATTTTCAGTTTTTACTCAAAAACATTGTCTACCGGTATTTTTGTCCTATTCTTCTGAAGGAAATTGCAGACTATAAACAGGACTATTTTGAGAATTTGTGATGAAAAAGAGGAAACTGGTGGTGAAAAGGTTAATTACGATAAGAGTAATAAATATAAAATACAAATGTACTAAGTACTGTAAAATGACTAATTTTCACTTGGTTTAAATTTCACTGATTTAGCATTTCAGGCATATTCAGTGGGTTTTAAATTCACTGATTTATCATTTAGATAATGTGTTCTATTTAAATTTTACATATTCATTGGGTTTTAATTTAGCGCATTTTCCAATCAGCAGAATAAGCAAAATTAAAACCCAGTGAATAATTAACCCTTTTACAGTATGTTACTATGAAGATATGTTTTGAGAAAGCTCTACACTTGCACATTGTACCGGTAATATTTGAGTTAAAGACATTTCCATGAACCTCTAGAATGGTGGAATTATCAGTTGCTGTTGATTTGAAATTTAATGGATCTCAATATTTGAGACTTGCAAATACATTTATGAGACGCCATTTTGACCCCTGTTTTGCAGTGAACAGATTGTGTTAATTTGTACATCGTTAGTGTGAAGAAAAGTGTTAAAAACACAATACCGAGTAAAATATTTTTTTCATATTTGGCCGAAGTTAATTTATTATCAAATGTATTCCATTTGTGTCTGTAGATATCTGTATTGATTGTTATTCTGCAAAATAGTAATAGACTGTCTCCCAGCAATTGACAAACAGTAAATGCTGTATAAACAAGATGGCGCATCATGCAATAATTTTTATTCAAGACCTTTAAAGGGGAGCGGAGGTGTGGCTTTTGACACTCTGTACATGAAATTTGAGATCTATTTGACGTTTTTCCGGTCGGAAAATACAGTGCGGTTGTAAATTAAGCGATAAGCGTCGATTAAAAGTGGGAAGTTGGGCAAAATGAGTACTGTGGTTCAAGTGATATTAGCATATTTCTCATTTAGTTTTAACTCGTACAATATTTATTCACTCACTGTTTACTATAGCCATAACGCTGTACTGTCTTCACTTTCAGGTTAGTTCTTCCGCCGATTTCTCGCAACCAACAAC